GTGTGTATATTAGGAAAAGAGAGGGAGCCGAATGGAAAGAGGAGTTTTTCTTTTTTTTTTTCTTGTTATGGCTTGTCTTCTGTCCTGTGGGAGAGAGCCGAGAGAGGAGATTTTTGTAGCCAACAGTAGAGCCTTTTTTGTGTGTGTTTTTTTTTCCTCCTTTTCCCCCAGAGAGAGCCGAGTGATGTCTTGACTAGGAGTGTTAAGTTGGGCCAAATGATGATTTTTTCTTCCAAAGACAAGAAGTATGCATGGGCTATCAATGATGAATTTTTTACCAAAATGGGAAGAAATGTTAATGAGGATGGAGTGTAAAAATGGGTTAATAGTGGTTCTGATGAAACAAAATGATTAGAATGATTTTTTTTATTTTCTTAATTTTCCTTCTTTTGTTTTGTTTTGTTTGTTTGTTGTTTTTTTTTTTAATTTTTCTTCTTTTCCTAAAACAAACCTGCAAAAATGAGACAAATGCAAATTAAAATGCAAGAAAATAAATAACTCATTAAATAGAAAAAATTCAAGAAAATATTAAAAATTGACAAAAATTTGGTGTCTACAGCTTGTCCCTCTTTGTCTAGAGTTTCAAAGAAACTCAAGACAAAGACGTAGACACCAAATTGTTTACCTGTCTCTTCTAACTGCACCTGAGTTAAATTAAACAAGCTAACACTTGGTTGAAATTATTGGACAAAATGATGCAATAACATTGCAGAGCATATGACCGAACTCATGTAGAGTTGCCTACGTATCCCGCCATGGGAATCAGGTCAAACGTAGTTCGAATGCAAGTGAACCACAACGAAACAAGTGCATTGACCAACTATGGTCTTTGCAAAGTCGAAAAAGTCTGAGCTCTCAGAACTTCTAAACATGAAACACAAAATGAATGAGAAATCACAATTATTAGTCAAAACAGTCAAGAAAATTAACTTGTCATAACTAGAAAAAGATGCGCGGAGGGACGCGGTTACGCTCCAACAGAAAATTAAATTTGTCTTTTCAAAAAAGATGCGCGGAGGGACGCGATTACGCTCCAACAGGAAATTAAATTGTCAAGAAGGGGAGATAGAAGGGTGCGCGGTGGACGCTGAGACTCACCAACAGGAAATTAAATTGATGCGCGCAGGGACGCGATTACGCTCCAACAGGAATTTAAATTTGTCAAGAATGGGAGATAGAAGGGTGCGCGGTGGACGCTGAGACTCACCAACAGAAATTTAAATTTATGCGCGGAGGGACGCGATTACGCTCCAACAGAAAATTTAACAGTCAAGATGGGGAGATAGGAGGGTGCGCGGTGGACGCTGAGACTCACCAACAGAAATTTAAAATGTCAAGAATGGAAGGTAGAAGGGTGCGCGGTGGACGCTGAGACTCACCAACAGAAAATTAAATTTGTCATTTAGGAAAAGATGCGCAGAGGGACACGATTATGCTCCAACAGAAAATTAAATTTGTCAAGAAGGGGAGATAGAAGGGTGCACGGTGGACGCTGAGACTCACCAACAGAAATTTAAAATGTCAAGAATGGAAGGTAGAAGGGTGCGCGGTGGACGCTGAGACTCACCAACAGAAATTTAAATTTATGCGCGGAGGGACGCGATTACGCTCCAACAGAAAATTTAAATTGTCAAGAAGGGGAGATAGAAGGGTGCGCGGTGGACGCTGAGACTCACCAACAGAAATTTAAAATGTCAAGAATGGAAGGTAGAAGGGTGCGCGGTGGACGCTGAGACTCACCAACAGGAATTTAAATTGTCAAGAATGGGAGGTAGAAGGGTGCACGGTGGACGCTGAGACTCACCAACAGAAAATTAAATTTATCAAGAATGGGAGGTTGAAGGGTGCACGGTGGACGCTGAGACTCACCAACAGAAAATTAAATTTGTCAAGAAGGGGGATAGAAGGGTGCGTGGTGGACGCTGAGACTCACCAACAGGAAATTAAATTGATGCGCAGAGGGACGCGATTACGCTGCAACAGACAATTAAATTTATCAAGAATGGGAGGTAGAAGGGTGCGCGGTGGACGCTGAGACTCACCAACAGGAATTAAATTGATGCGCGGAGGGACGCGATTACGCTCCAACAGAAAATTAAATTGATGCGCGGAGGGACGCGATTACGCTCCAACAGGAATTTAAATTTGTCAAGAATAGGAGATAGAAGGGTGCGCGGTAGACGCTGAGACTCACCAACAGGAAATTAAATTGTCAAGAAGGGGAGGTAGAAGGGTGCGCGGTGGACGCTGAGACTCACCAACATGAAATTAAATTGATGCGCGGAGGGACGCGATTACGCTCCAACAGGAATTTAAATTTGTCAAGAATGGGAGATAGAAGGGTGCGCGGTGGACGCTGAGACTCACCAACAGGAAATTAAATTGTCAAGAAATAACAGATTGGTGGGATAAAACTCGAATCCAATAAAATAAAACGGTCAGTGGGATAACACCCAAACCTCCCGAATCCCAACATGATATACAAAAGACACGTTATTGGGTTGAACCCGATGCTAACGGATGTGAAAAAAACATAACACACGTTAGTGAGTCAATACTCGATGCTAACGGTGATGAAAGACACGTTAGTGGGTTGGACCCAATGCTAACGGATGTGAAAAAAAATAGCACACGTTAGTGAGTCAAATCTCAATGCTAACGGTGATAAAAGACATGTTAGTGGGTTGGACCCGATGCTAACGGATATGAAAAAGTAAAACACGCGTTAGTGAGTTGTACTCGATGCTAACGGTGATAAAAGACATGTTAGTGGGTTGGACCCGATGCTAACGGATATGAAAAAGTAAAACACGCGTTAATGAGTTGTACTCGATGCTAACGGTGATAAAAGACACGTTAGTGGGTTGGACCCGATGCTAACGGATGTGAAAAAATAAAACACGCGTTAGTGAGTCATACTCGATGCTAACGGTGATAAAAGGCACGTTAGTGGGTTGGACCCGATGCTAACGGATGTGAAAAAATAAAACACGCGTTAGTGAGTTGTACTCGATGCTAACGGTGATAAAAGACATGACACACGTTATTGCATGAAAAAGTTCTTGAATACTTACCTGAAAAATCATTTCAGAAATTGACTCAATTTGAATCAATTTTGTTCAACCAATCATCTGCTTTGCATTTTGACATTGTGGCTCAAGTTGGTGGATTTGTAATCTTTTTTTGTTTTTTTGTTTTTTTTGTTTTTTTTGTTTTTTTTTTGTTTTTGAAAAAAAACAAAGGTGACAAATTCTAAAACTTGAAGAATACCAATGACAACTCTCCTTTCAAGAGATTTGAGAGGTACATACATGTGTCACTATCTTCTCGACTTTAAAAAACTTTTTTTTTCACAAAGCCGATTTAGAATGTATTACCAAAATTGGAGCTCACTCCTTTTGATATTTGCCCCAGTGTAAATCATGTTTAACGAAAGCCACATTTTCATGCTTTTGAAAAAGCAAAAAGAGTGATCATATGATACCAATACCATGTGATTCCTTGTGCTCCTTTTGGCCCTGAGAACCATGCAAGCATGATCCTTCGATGTCAAAACTGCTCCTCAAGAGTTGTGCTGCAACTTGTTTTGAATCTTCTCCATTTTTCAGCATCAGTCAGCCATACCACACTTTGTACCACAAATCAACTTTTCTAATGACCAGATTTGAATGAATGGCCAGTATCTCAAGTGTCAGCAACCCGCTTTTCGTTCATGATTTTCTTGTGCTCCAAAATCTTACCTTGATGACCTCAACCTTTCGGATTTTCACAAAGGTCACACCTTTTTATTTTATTTTGTTTTCATTTTCTTCTTTTTTTTTCTTTTTCATCATTCTCTTTTTTTTTTCTTTTTTTCTTTTTTTCTCATTCTTTTGAAGACACCCTTTCAGGTTTTCACCTAATGAACAAATCTTGTTAACGACATTTATCAACTCAGAAATGTATTTAAAGAAAGGATGGCATCAGCGCGACAACCATTCCCATGTAAAAATGGTGAAGGTGTACTGACATCAATTGCCATTTGATTAAGTGATTTTTATTAGAAATATCACTAAAGCGGAGGTCGAGACTTTATGATTTTTATGATGGGGGCATGTGGGGTGTAGAAAAAGTGTTAAACTTCAAAGCAAAATCTTCAAAGAGGTTTCAAAAATCCTAAGACCGCATTCTATCAATATTTGCCCCATTATGAGGGTATTAAAACCGAAAAAATTGCCCCAGTTTGGCTTTTGACTTCTTTTTTCTTTTTTTTTCTTTTTTTTTCATGACAAATAAGAGATAAAAATTTACCCCAGTATGGAGTTTGCAATCTTTAGGAGGGCTATCAAATGAAAGGTTGAATTATTCTGGAGGTTCAATGGGGAAAACTAGGGATAAGATGTTCAAAGAGAAAAGAAGAAGGCTCGCCTTTGATCCGCCATAGATGGTATTTCAAAAAGAAAAATCATATAATCAGATAAAGAATTTATTTCACATGTCTGAATTGATTGGCAGAGGAAAGACCTGTCCATCCAGTTCTGTAAGAATGGACGTTCCTCCGGATAGCACTCTTTGAACAATAAATGGCCCTTGCCAAGTCGGAGCAAACTTTTCTTTAACCTCCTATTGAATCGGAAGAATTTACTTCAAAACCTTATCCCTCACTTCAAATAAGCAAGATTTGTCTTTCTTGTCATAACTAACGAACCATCCTTTGATGATAGCATTGTCCATGACAAACATTCAACCTCTTTTTCATCAATCAGAGATAGCAACTCATTGTGCTCCTTAATCCATTTGATTTCCTCTACCTAAGCCTTTGTCAAAATGTGCAAGGACGGGATCTCGGTTTTGGCATGTATTACCACTTCCATTTCAGCATAAGAGGACAAGGTGTTGCCCTAACTTAGAAATGTAATCTCCAATGAAACGCTCCCAGAGTTCAATTGCAAAATTTGCAAAATCGAAGGAAAAACTCTCTTTTTTTTTCAATCCCCTTTTTTTTATTCTCTTTTTTTTTCGTTTTTCCATTTTTTCCTCCTTTTTTATTATTCTCTTCTTTTTTTTTCTTTCATTCCCCCTTTCTTTTCTTTTGTCTTTTGTCTTTACTTTTTTTTTTCCTTTATTCTTTCTCTTTTTTTTTCGCTTTTCATTCCCCCTTTTTCTTTTCTTTTCTCTTTTTTTTTTCAAGTTGGCTGCTAAAGTATGTACTCCTTTTGAGCAAATAGCCGATCCTCCACTTTGCAATGTAGCATTATTGCTCCATTTTTATTCGTGACTAATCTCCAAATTTGCAAGTTGAATTGCACTTTTTCCTCGATCTCAACCATAAACACCTGCATAAGGAGAATTTTTCAAAGCACTTGAATTTTTCAATTTTCAATTTTTTTTTGTTTTTTTGTTTTTTTGTTTTTTTTTGAGTAATGATATAACAATTAACATTCATGCAAAGTGTTGACTTATCAAGATTTGAGAAATATACTTGACCTTGGACATACCCTACAAATGTATTAAAAATTTTACCTCAATTTGAACCTATTTGACAAAATCTCACAGATATATTACAAAAATTTTTGCCCCAATTTGGGTCTATTCTAAAATTTTATTCGAGTGATTCTCCATTTATTCGGACAAAACAAGAAAACTGTGTCTTCCAAAATTTAAAAAAACTAACATGCAATGTGAGTTGATGTACAATAGAAAAAATGCATTTTTCCACAAAAAACTTTAAATGCCATGTAGAAAGCTCCATGATAAATCTCTCAAAACAAAACCAAATTACAAAAGATCTCTTCCTCTTTTTGGGATCGATATCGAGGGAAAAGGGTCCTCTTCTCGTTGGCTCATCTTTTAGGACCAAACAAATGGGTATTACTCATGATTTTGAGGTGACTCAGGGAGATGGTATGTCAGGATCTGTCTTTTTTTTTTTTTGTGCCCAAATTGTATCCAACACATTCAGTATCACATCTTGGTGAAAGCAAATAGCTTATCACCCTTATTTCTTAAGAAAATTCAGTTAACATATAAGCTCTATGGGCTTGTAATGTATGGGTAGAAACGATAGTTAAACATATGGAAACAAGTTATGACCTAATGATCATGAGTAATTGGTAAATTCCTTAAAGGCGAAATCTTCACTTCAAATTGTCATGAAAGATAAGTCAGCAATGGACTTTATGAGCTTGTAATGTGGCTTAACAATGATAGCTAAAAAAAAAAAAAAATAGAATTTTCAAGGACAACGCACTTAAGATCGCCTTCTTTCACAAAAATTGCCCCAGTTTTGGATTTAAAATCCGGGACCCCCTTTTTCTTATCAATCCTCTTTTTTCTTCAACAATCACTAAGGGAAATGCAACATTGGATGTCTTCGCATTTTTTTTTTCTATAATCATTTTTTCATTTTTTCCCAATTTTCTTTTCTCTCTCTTTTTTTTTTTTTACCAATACTGATATCCCAATGTCAATGATAAAATTGAAAACTCCCTAATTTGGAGTATATATGGCCCCTCTTTCTTTTCAACAGTGAAGACCAAAATATCAATGGTAGAGTCAAATTCCCCCAACTTGTAATTTTTCTCTTGCAAAAAATTTTGAGCATTTTTGCCATTTTTTTTTCAATTCTCAAATCTCCTTCCCCAGTGTGGGGGTGCGATCATAAGTGCTTTTGAAACGAACCACCAATTTAGACTCAAATGGGGATGCAAAGGATAGAAAGTGTTTGGATAGTAGAAACAATGGCCAAAGCATCATTCTTGTTTCTCATGACAACCAAAGTAAAGAATAGCCCATTGAGAAAATCCATTTCGTTTTGACATTTGAGAATTTTTCATGGATGGTCATGATCATTTAGATTTTTATTTGAAACGGAATTCTATTTTTGGAGGTTCAAATGGGAAAATAAATGATAAAATCTATATAGATAGAGAAACAAAAGCCTAAAGTATCATTCCAAATTTTCAAAACAAATAAAAAGTAATATACATTTTTGTTTTCACTCAGATGTGGATTGAATCTGGTTAGACACACTGGACATTTTCATAGTAAAATTGTCTCACTTTGAAGCTAGTCAATCAATGCGACTGACTTTGGAGGTTCAATAGAAGTGGACAAAAAATGAAAAAAGTGTCGGGGTTGATCTTTATGACAAACTATCAAATTTGTATGACCCCTTTTATTTTCGACTACTCCCATTGAATAGTTTAGATCACAAATCTAGTGTATGCAAAGAATTTTGGGAATTTGACGTGCACTCATGAATTTTGAACAAGAGGTCGAAAAATTTCAATTTTTATTCCTTAAAATCTATCATGAAATCTCTCAATGAGCAAATAAAGAATGAATATATACAAAACAATAATTGTCTAAATAAAAACTTTATTATTCAAATGTTTGAAATTTTTTTTTTGGGTCAAATATAATACATGTGAGCAAATAAAAATCTCTAAAGAATACATTTTCAAATATATACACACTTTCTCCTTCTATCTTTTGAGACAAAATATATTAGAAACAATGAATCAAAAGATTTTTGAGATACTTTACACTAGCGTTTTCAAATGGATTTTTCATTCATTTTTTTCATCATCGTTTTTTTTTTTTTTTACATTGTAGGATCTGCCCAAGAATCAAGCAACACTTGTAATTTTCAAAATTTATCAGACCAAAAATATTATCAGATATAGGAAAAATGTTTTTACCTTGTTGAAACAACTTTTATAAATGCAGGGGAGGGGGAAAAAATAAAAGCAAAATACCCAGAGTTAGTAAGTAAAACTGCAAAATCGGTATGCATGTCCTATGGGGGAACCCTTTTATGCCAAGAGTTGGCCTAGTATGAAAAATGCAATCCTCTGGGGTAGGCACCATACAATACCTGATGGATCCGATCGACTTATTGAGATTCAATGAAAAGACAATTTTGAAAAGACTGGATAATTGGAGTGACAAAAGACAATTTGTTCTAATAAAATGAGGACAAAGTCCGAATGGATTGATTGTTTTGATTGACACATAAAGTGATGTTAAAAATCAATTTAGTGTGAAAAACTTATTTTTGAAAGGATTGAAATATCTCGACTAGTTTCTTCGGTGAACCATAGATCGAAACTTTAAAAGAGAATAAACGAGTTAAATGGATCGAATGAAATTGATGGTTAGTTCAAAAAATTGACTGGATTATCCTAAAAATGAATAAAGTTGATCAAATGAATTGGATGGAATTGAGAATTTATTCAAAAAAAAATAAAAAAATAAAATTGATTAAATGAATAATGAATTGAATGGAATTGATGATTAATTCAAAATTGATTGTATTGGCCTAAAAATGAATAAATTGGTCAAATAGATTGGATAGAATTGCCAGTTTATTCAAAAATCGACTTGATCACTGACCAAATGAACAGAATGAAATTGATGATTTATTCAAAATGAAATTGAATGAAGATGAAATTAAAAACGAGCAAAATTGTAAGGATCGAATGATCTATAAAAAAAAATCGACTCAATCATATTAGATGTAAAAATGAAATGAATGAAATTGATGATTTATTCAAAATCGACCGAATTGCCCTAAAAATAGGTAAACTGGTCACATGAATTGAATGAAATTTAATTTATTCAAAATTGACCGAATCACCCTAAAAAGGGGTAAATTGGTCAAACGAAATTGCTGATTTATTCAAAATTGACTTAGTCCTAAAAGTGAAGAAATAGGAAAAAATGGATCGGATGAATTTGATGAATAAAATGGTCCAATGAAATTGATGGTTTATTCCAAAAATTGATTGAATTGTCTACCCATTGAAAATTTTCAAAAATTCATTATGATTCATTAGTCTATGAGCCTTCGAAAATCAAGATTTGGCCTTAACATACTTATCATCTCAACAATGAGGAATTTGTGAATTTCTTCAACTTAATGTCCTTTACGCAAGGGATTTTTACCAATTCTGATAAAATGGCCAAAAAGTGATTATTAAAGGCTCATATTCTAATGCGTAAAAACTGTTCCATTATTTTCAATGCCGTCACACGGAAGGGATCAAATCCTACCTTACCTTGTGCACTACCCCTTTGGATGGTACAAAAAATATAAACGTGTAAGTCTCATTGGATTATATATCCGAGACAAAAGGTGGTTTATTCCTATAACGGGATTCCCTAAATGGCATTCCCTCTAAGGTTTATGCATGATACCAATTTATCAAAGCGACTAAATATGCAGTATACAAATGAAACACGACCTAAAAGAACCCCCTTTTGTATGCCGGGGTGAGCCTAAAATGAAATGTAATCATGCTGTAAATGCGAAGCATTGAATTTAAACGTGTCATATCAAATAGGGTAGACTCCTAGAGAGTACCATGCCAGGACTCTTATTTTCTAGGGTTTATGAATGCAATGGAGACAAAACCCAAGAAAAGTTAGTTCAATCAGACAAATACACATAACACATTGTAGCAAAGTAATACACAAAGATAAAACAATAAAGAGGGGTTGGATCCCTCCCCTCGTGAATAGTGTTCCTAATAGGGTAAGGCAGACTCTACCCTAGGTAAACTATCATGGATGCATGAGGTATCGGCTCACTAATGCATCTAGACTCGATAGGTTTTAGATCCCCGAGCCTTCAGACTTAGAAACCAAAGGTCATCAATCCCAAGGTTCTTTGTCGGTGGCTCGAGCGATTCCCCAGACATTGCTACGTGCACGTCGTGCCACGGCCACATGTCCAAGTGAATCTATCAAAAATTCTCAATTTTCGACTAAAAGCTAAAGGCTATCAACCCAAAGCTTAAAATGGAAGATTGAGTGACCCCTAGAATCATGCTACGCACACGTCGTGTCGCGATCACACATCCAAGTGGGTCGCCTAATCCTAATAGGGAAGAGTGGCGTGACAAGCCACTAAAGAAAAATAAATGAGGGATAAAATAAAACGTATGCACGTATGCTAGTGCTCGGTTTGGAGGGGAGGGATCGAGAACCAATGCGAGGCTCTAGGGTAATATCCCCCCATCCAAATGCAATGCAAAGCGCGGGATAACATACATAAACTATCCATCCATCAATCGTACACAAATAGATGAGGGAGTGAATTGATACGCGCGCAATGCAAAAAATCCTAAAAAAGAGAAAATGCAACCCTAAACATCCAAATGCGATAAATAAAAGGGTTAAAAAGAGAAAAGACAACTAAACCAAGTGCTTGGACTCTCTAGCGTCCCCAGTGGAGTCGCCAAGTTGTCGCGCCCCATTTTTCGTGATGGAAAAATATAAGTATAAAAATAGGTATTTACAAAATATGTAATCTTATTTTAAAATAAATGAAAAAGGACCTAGAATGGGACTTTAAAGAATGCGACAATTTGGGTCCAAAATTTAGTCTAAAAGGGTTTTTAAGAAAAAATAGGAGTCGCCACTTGGTATGAAATTTTGGTGTACCAAGTCACCCAAAAAATAAAGTAAAATAAAATAAAATAAAACCCTTTTTGACAACTCCAGGTCTTTGAAAACAAGAGAAAATGGATTCGGGAGTCACGGTTGAAGAAAGGGAAGGCAAAGGTTCGATTAACTCAAACCTAAGGCACCCTTTCAACCTAGTCTAAGCTAGTTGCGAGGTTTAGTCAAAATTTTCCTAATCTAACCCTTAATTTTATCACGTTTGGATGTTTCCTACATGGATGCAAATCTAAAAATATCGAAAGGGACAAAATGTTCATTCAAGGGTTTAATTGGATCAATCGCATTAATTGCAAAGGCCAAAATGAATCCTTGAAGGTGTCACGAGGATGCAAATGATGAAAAATAAAATAAAATAAAAGAAATTAAATTATATACATATATATAAGTGATCAAAGAAAAAGGGAATGCAACATAAAGGGTACGGGAGGCGAAAAAATTCGTGACATAATTTTCTTATACATGGATTAATAGGGTATTTAAACTATAGAGTTATAATCACCCATTTTCCATGTTTGAAAAATAATTATCCTAACATGAACAAGCAAATGAACTAGCTTAAATGAGATGCAATTCTAAATGACATGATTAACACCTATAGAGAATATGGGATAATATAATAGGGAATATCATACAAATGAGAAAATATCCTAAAAATGAAAATATGCATGAAAATGTAGTGAATAGCACACAAAGATGAATCTAACGCAAGACGGCCTAAAGGGTCTAGCGTTGGACTAGCCCATTTTTAAAAATCCTTACTAGCGTTGGACTAGCAAGTAAGCGGAGGGAGAAACCACAACTAGCGTTGGACTAGTGTGGTGACGTCATGCATTTTTAATACATAATAAGACAAGTAGACATAAATTAAAACAAATAAACACATAAGAGCACGTAGCACGTAACACATAAGCATAATATCTAGATGCAAAAATCCTAAGGAAAGCAAGTAAGGCACGTAACACATAAGCCACATAAGCACACAACCTATCTATTACATCGGGGAGCGTCTAACTACAATCTAAAAGGGGAAATAAAATAAAACAAATCTAATTATCCTATCTATTACATTTTTGAGGTATTTAAATGCCTCTCAAATAATTATAAAATTAACTAAAAAAGTATAAGAAAATTTAAATGATCATTCAAATCAAATAAACAAAGCATATAAAAATATATAAACATATAGGAGCACGTAAGAGCACATAAGAGCACGTAATTAACATTGAAATAATAATAATGAGGTACCTCCCTTTTGAAGTGGTGACTAAATGGAGTCAAATTGTCCTATTTATACTCACAATGAACAAAAGAATCATGGCACCAATTTAATTTTAAAAAAAAACAATAATAATAAAAGTACTAAGCTCACGCTAATATGTCAAACATAAAGAAATTTAAAATATCTAAAAATTACAAGTTGAATATGTTCAAAAGTAACATAATTAGTTATTGAAGAAAAGAAACAATCATAATAAAGAGAGCCAAAATTTGTCAAGGACTGAATTACAAAAAGTTGAAAACTTTTGGGGGACAAAAATTATATTTTCCAAAGTTCAGGGGTCCAAATTAAATGAAAGATAAAATTCAGGGACCAAAGTGAAATTAATTTAAGGACCGAGTTGAAAGGAATTTAAAATGTTATGGGCCGCAGTGAAAGTACTTGAAAGTACAGGGACTGAAGTGCAAGTTCGTTTCTGATTTGGGCAAGAAGAGGGCATCGGGCCTCCCTTTTTATTTTACTTGGGCCAAACCTACCTAAGCCCAACTGAAAACCCAACCTAAAACACACAGGCCAGCCCGTCTTTTATCACTCAAACCCAACCAAAATATATGGACTCAAAACTCTTAGCCCAACAGAAACCCAAAAGAAAATAAACCAAAACCCATTTTCATAACCCAACCAAAACTAACTCTTGGCCCAACCGAAATAAAACATTAGCCCAAACCCCTTTTTTCTTTCTTTCTTTTCTTTCTCTTTTCTTCCCATACGTTTCCTTTCCTTCTTCTTCGGCCAACCGAAGAAGCTTCAGCTGGTAGCCATGGTGGCGGCGCCACCGGACCGCCGGTCACCGGCGACTTTTCCAGTGGCCAAAATTTCTCAAAATACATCTTTCCACTCCATTTTTCGCGTAGGTTCCATTTCCGGAGTTAATTTTTACAAAAGATGACCCGAAGGTAGCCGAAAAGCAAAAAGCCAGTCCAGTTTTTTATTTTTTAAAACACTATAATCTTCACCAAAAATCTTAAAAATTATGCCAAAACCCTCCTTATAACTTCTACATTACAACTATAATCTAAGTTGAACAAGAAAACAACATAAAAAGGCTGAATTAAGGCAAAACAGTCCCTAAAATTCTTTTTGGCATTTTTTCAAACAATTAACATGCATTCACAGAAATCATCTTTTCCTTAATGTTTATTCAAGTTGAAAACTTTTGGGGACAAAAATTATATTTTCCAAAGTTCAGGGGTCCAAATTAAATGAAAGATAAAATTCAGGGACCAAAGTGAAATTAATTTAAGGACCGAGTTGAAAGGAATTTAAAATGTTCTGGGCCGCAGTGAAACTTGTAGAAAGTACAGGGACTGAAGTGCAAGTTCGTTTCTGATTTGGGCAAGAAGAGGGCATCGGGCCTCCCTTTTTATTTTACTTGGGCCAAACCTACCTAAGCCCAACTGAAAACCCAACCTAAAACACACAGGCCAGCCCGTCTTTTATCACTCAAACCCAACCAAAATATATGGACTCAAAACTCTTAGCCCAACAGAAACCCAAAAGAAAATAAACCAAAACCCATTTTCATAACCCAACCAAAACTAATGGCCCAACCGAAATAAAACATTAGCCCAAACCCCTTTTTTCTTTCTTTCTTTTCTTTCTCTTTTCTTCCCATACGTTTCCTTTCCTTCTTCTTCGGCCAACCGAAGAAGCTTCAGCTGGTAGCCATGGTGGCGGCGCCACCGGACCGCCGGTCACCGGCGACTTTTCCAGTGGCCAAAATTTCTCAAAATACATCTTTCCACTCCATTTTTCGCGTAGGTTCCATTTCCGGAGTTAATTTTTACAAAAGATGACCCGAAGGTGGCCGAAAAGCAAAAAGCCAGTCCAGTTTTTTATTTTTTAAAACACTATAATCTTCACCAAAAATCTTAAAAATTATGCCAAAACCCTCCTTATAACTTCTACATTACAACTATAATCTAAGTTGAACAAGAAAACAACATAAAAAGGCTGAATTAAGGCAAAACAGTCCCTAAAATTCTTTTTGGCATTTTTTCAAACAATTAACATGCATTCACAGAAATCATCTTTTCCTTAATGTTTATTCATGGCTTTACCCCAAAATTTCAACAACACCAGCAGCAACAACAAGAAAACAGCAGGAACAACCAATAATACATGAATTCAACACGATAAAGAAAAAAAAACGGGAAATAGTTCAATGGAAGTGTTGATACCTCTTATGACCTTAGTTAAAATTGTTGATGAAATTCCAATCTCCTCGCGTCCGATTGCTTGCTTTCTTGTGCTTGATTCTGTGTGTGTATATTAGGAAAAGAGAGGGAGCCGAATGGAGAGAGGAGTTTTTCTTTTTTTTTTCTTGTTATGGCTTGTCTTCTGTCCTGTGGGAGAGAGCCGAGAGAGGAGATTTTTGTAGCCAACAGTAGAGCCTTTTTTGTGTGTGTTTTTTTTTCCTCCTTTTCCCCCAGAGAGAGCCGAGTGATGTCTTGACTAGGAGTGTTAAGTTGGGCCAAATGATGATTTTTTCTTCCAAAGACAAGAAGTATGCATGGGCTATCAATGATGAATTTTTTACCAAAATGGGAAGAAATGTTAATGAGGATGGAGTGTAAAAATGGGTTAATAGTGGTTCTGATGAAACAAAATGATTAGAATGATTTTTTTTATTTTCTTAATTTTCCTTCTTTTGTTTTGTTTTTGTTTGTTTGTTGTTTTTTTTTTAATTTTCTTCTTTTTCCTAAAACAAACCTGCAAAAATGAGAAAATGCAAATTAAAATGCAAGAAAATAAATAACTCATTAAATAGAAAAAATTCAAGAAAATATTAAAAATTGACAAAAATTTGGTGTCTACAGCTTGTCCCTCTTTGTCTAGAGTTTCAAAGAAACTCAAGACAAAGACGTAGACACCAAATTGTTTACCTGTCTCTTCTAACTGCACCTGAGTTAAATTAAACAAGCTAACACTTGGTTGAAATTATTGGACAAAATGATGCAATAACATTGCAGAGCATATGACCGAACTCATGTAGAGTTGCCTACGTATCCCGCCATGGGAATCAGGTCAAACGTAGTTCGAATGCAAGTGAACCACAACGAAACAAGTGCATTGACCAACTATGGTCTTTGCAAAGTCGAAAAAGTCTGAGCTCTCAGAACTTCTAAACATGAAACACAAAATGAATGAGAAATCACAATTATTAGTCAAAACAGTCAAGAAAAGTAACTTGTCATAACTAGAAAAAGATGCGCGGAGGGACGCGGTTACGCTCCAACAGAAAATTAAATTTGTCTTTTCAAAAAAGATGCGCGGAGGGACGCGATTACGCTCCAACAGGAAATTAAATTGTCAAGAAGGGGAGATAGAAGGGTGCGCGGTGGACGCTGAGACTCACCAACAGGAAATTAAATTGATGCGCGCAGGGACGCGATTACGCTCCAACAGGAATTTAAATTTGTCAAGAATGGGAGATAGAAGGGTGCGCGGTGGACGCTGAGACTCACCAACAGAAATTTAAATTTATGCGCGGAGGGACGCGATTACGCTCCAACAGAAAATTTAATAGTCAAGATGGGGAGATAGGAGGGTGCGCGGTGGACGCTGAGACTCACCAACAGAAATTTAAAATGTCAAGAATGGAAGGTAGAAGGGTGCGCGGTGGACGCTGAGACTCACCAACAGAAAATTAAATTTGTCATTTAGGAAAAGATGCGCGGAGGGACACGATTATGCTCCAACAGAAAATTAAATTTGTCAAGAAGGGGAGATAGAAGGGTGCACGGTGGACGCTGAGACTCACCAACAGAAATTTAAAATGTCAAGAATGGAAGGTAGAAGGGTGCGCGGTGGACGCTGAGACTCACCAACAGAAATTTAAATTTATGCGCGGAGGGACGCGATTACGCTCCAACAGAAAATTTAAATTGTCAAGAAGGGGAGATAGAAGGGTGCGCGGTGGACGCTGAGACTCACCAACAGGAATTTAAATTGTCAAGAATGGAAGGTAGAAGGGTGCACGGTGGACGCTGAGACTCACCAACAGAAAATTAAATTTATCAAGAATGGGAGGTAGAAGGGTGCACGTGGACGCTGAACTCACCAACAGGAAATTAAATTGATGCGCAGAGGGACGCGATTACGCTGCAACAGACAATTAAATTTGTCAAGAATGGGAGGTAGAAGGGTGCGCGGTGGACGCTGAGACTCACCAACAGGAATTAAATTGATGCGCGGAGGGACGCGATTACGCTCCAACAGAAAATTAAATTGATGCGCGGAGGGACGCGATTACGCTCCAACAGGAATTTAAATTTGTCAAGAATAGGAGATAGAAGGGTGCGCGGTACGCTGAGACTCACCAACAGAAATTAAATTGTCAAGAAGGGGAGGTAGAAGGGTGCGCGGTGGACTGAGACTCACAACATGAAATTAAATTGATGCGCGAGGGACGCGATTACGCTCCAACAGGAATTTAAATTTGTCAAGAATGGGAGATAGAAGGGTGCGCGGTGGACGCTGAGACTCACCAACAGGAAATTAAATTGTCAAGAAATAACAGATTGGTGGGATAAAACCCGAATCCAATAAAATAAAACGGTCAGTGGGATAACACCCAAACCTGCCGAATCCCAACATGATATACAAAAGACACGTTATTGGGTTGAACCCGATGCTAACGGATGTGAAAAAAACATAACACACGTTTAGTGAGTCAATACTCGATGCTAACGGTGATGAAAGACACGTTAGTGGGTTGGACCCAATGCTAACGGATGTGAAAAAAAATAGCACACGTTAGTGAGTCAAATCTCAATGCTAACGGTGATAAAAGACATGTTAGTGGTTGGACCCGATGCTAACGGATATGAAAAAGTAAAACACGCGTTAGTGAGTTGTACTCGATGCTAACGGTGATAAAAGACATGTTAGTGGGTTGGACCCGATGCTAACGGATATGAAAAAGTAAAACACGCGTTAGTGAGTTGTACTCGATGCTAACGGTGATAAAAGACACGTTAGTGGGTTGGACCCGATGCTAACGGATGTGAAAAAATAAAACACGCGTTAGTGAGTCATACTCGATGCTAACGGTGATAAAAGGCACGTTAGTGGGTTGGACCCGATGCTAACGGATGTGAAAAAATAAAACACGCGTTAGTGAGTTGTACTCGATGCTAACGGTGATAAAAGACATGACACACGTTATTGCATGAAAAAGTTCTTGAATACTTACCTGAAAAATCATTTCAGAAATTGACTCAATTTGAATCAATTTTGTTCAACCAATCATCTGCTTTGCATTTTGACATTGTGGCTCAAGTTGGTGGATTTGTAATCTTTTTTGTTTTTTTGTTTTTTTGTTTTTTGTTTTTTTTGTTTTTGAAAAAAAACAAAGGTGACAAATTCTAAAACTTGAAGAATACCAATGACAACTCTCCTTTCAAGAGATTTGAGAGGTACATACATGTGTCACTATCTTCTCGACTTTAAAAAACTTTTTTTTTCACAAAGCCGATTTAGAATGTATTACCAAAATTGGAGCTCACTCCTTTTGATATTTGCCCCAGTGTAAATCATGTTTAACGAAAGCCACATTTTCATGCTTTTGAAAAAGCAAAAAGAGTGATCATATGATACCAATACCATGTGATTCCTTGTGCTCCTTTTGGCCCTGAGAACCATGCAAGCATGATCCTTCGATGTCAAAACTGCTCCTCAAGAGTTGTGCTGCAACTTGTTTTGAATCTTCTCCATTTTTCAGCATCAGTCAGCCATACCACTTTGTACCACAAATCAACTTTTCTAATGACCAGATTTGAATGAATGGCCAGTATCTCAAGTGTCAGCAACCCGCTTTTCGTTCATGATTTTCTTGTGCTCCAAAATCTCACCTTGATGACCTCAACCTTTCGGATTTTCACAAAGGTCACACCTTTTTATTTTATTTTGTTTTCATTTTCTTCTTTTTTTTTTCTTTTTCATCATTCTCTTTTTTTTTTTTTTTCTTTTTTTCTCATTCTTTTGAAGACACCCTTTCAGGTTTTCACCTAATGAACAAATCTTGTTAACGACATTTATCAACTCAGAAATGTATTTAAAGAAAGGATGGCATCAGCGCGACAACCCTTCCCATGTAAAAATGGTGAAGGTGTACTGACATCAATTGCCATTTGATTAAGTGATTTTTATTAGAAATACCACTAAAGCGGAGGTCGAGACTTTATGATTTTTATGATGGGGGCATGTGGGGTGTAGAAAAAGTGTTAAACTTCAAAGCAAAATCTTCAAAGAGGTTTCAAAAATCCTAAGACCGCATTCTATCAATATTTGCCCCATTATGAGGGTATTAAAACCGAAAAAATTGCCCCAGTTTGGCTTTTGACTTCTTTTTTCTTTTTTTTTCATGACAAATAAGAGATAAAAATTTACCCCAGTATGGAGTTTGCAATCTTTAGGAGGGCTATCAAATGAAAGGTTGAATTATTCTGGAGGTTCAATGGGGAAAACTAGGGATAAGATGTTCAAAGAGAAAAGAAGAAGGCTCGCCTTTGATCCGCCATAGATGGTATTTCAAAAAGAAAAATCATATAATCAGATAAAGAATTTATTTCACATGTCTGAATTGATTGGCAGAGGAAAGACCTGTCCATCCAGTTCTGTAAGAATGGACGTTCCTCCGGATAGCACTCTTTGAACAATAAATGGCCCTTGCCAAGTCGGAGCAAACTTTTCTTTAACCTCCTCTTGAATCGGAAGAATTTACTTCAAAACCTTATCCCTCACTTCAAATAAGCAAGATTTGTCTTTCTTGTCATAACTAACGAACCATCCTTTGATGATAGCATTGTCCATGACAAACATTCAACCTCTTTTTCATCAATCAGAGATAGCAACTCATTGTGCTCCTTAATCCATTTGATTTCCTCTACCTAAGCCTTTGTCAAAATGTGCAAGGACGGGATCTCGGTTTTGGCATGTATTACCACTTCCATTTCAGCATAAGAGGCAAGGTGTTGCCCTAACTTAGAAATGTAATCTCCAATGAAACGCTCCCAGAGTTCAATTGCAAAATTTGCAAAATCGAAGGAAAAACTCTCTTTTTTTTTCAATCCCCTTTTTTTATTCTCTTTTTTTTTCGTTTTTCCATTTTTTCCTCCTTTTTTATTATTCTCTTCTTTTTTTTTTTTCATTCCCCTTTCTTTTCTTTTGTCTTTTGTCTTTACTTTTTTTTTTCCTTTATTCTTTCTCTTTTTTTTTCGCTTTTCATTCCCCCTTTTTCTTTTTTTTCTCTTTTTTTTTTCAAGTTGGCTGCTAAAGTATGTACTCCTTTTGAGCAAATAGCCGATCCTCCACTTTGCAATGTAGCATTATTGCTCCATTTTTATTCGTGACTAATCTCCAAATTTGCAAGTTGAATTGCACTTTTTCCTCGATCTCAACCATAAACACCTGCATAAGGAGAATTTTTCAAAGCACTTGAATTTTTCAATTTTCAATTTTTTTTTGTTTTTTTTTTTTTTTGTTTTTTTTTTGAGTAATGATATAACAATTAACATTCATGCAAAGTGTTGACTTATCAAGATTTGAGAAATATACTTGACCTTGGACATACCCTACAAATGTATTAAAAATTTTACCTCAATTTGAACCTATTTGACAAAATCTCACAGATATATTACAAAAATTTTTGCCCCAATTTGGGTCTATTCTAAAATTTTATTCGAGTGATTCTCCATTTATTCGGACAAAACAAGAAAACTGTGTCTTCCAAAATTTAAAAAAACTAACATGCAATGTGAGTTGATGTACAATAGAAAAAATGCATTTTTCCACAAAAAACTTTAAATGCCATGTAGAAAGCTCCATGATAAATCTCTCAAAACAAAACCAAATTACAAAAGATCTCTTCCTCTTTTTGGGATCGATATCGAGGGAAAAGGGTCCTCTTCTCGTTGGCTCATCTTTTAGGACCAAACAAATGGGTATTACTCATGATTTTGAGGTGACTCAGGGAGATGGTATGTCAGGATCTGTCTTTTTTTTTTTTTGTGCCCAAATTGTATCCAACACATTCAGTATCACATCTTGGTGAAAGCAAATAGCTTATCACCCTTATTTCTTAAGAAAATTCAGTTAACATATAAGCTCTATGGGCTTGTAATGTATGGGTAGAAACGATAGTTAAACATATGGAAACAAGTTATGACCTAATGATCATGAGTAATTGGTAAATTCCTTAAAGGCGAAATCTTCACTTCAAATTGTCATGAAAGATAAGTCAGCAATGGACTTTATGAGCTTGTAATGTGGCTTAACAATGATAGCTAAAAAAAAAAAAAATAGAATTTTCAAGGACAACGCACTTAAGATCGCCTTCTTTCACAAAAATTGCCCCAGTTTTGGATTTAAAATCCGGGACCCCCTTTTTCTTATCAATCCTCTTTTTTCTTCAACAATCACTAAGGGAAATGCAACATTGGATGTCTTCGCATTTTTTTTTTTCTATAATCATTTTTTCATTTTTTCCCAATTTTCTTTTCTCTCTCTTTTTTTTTTTTTACCAATACTGATATCCCAATGTCAATGATAAAATTGAAAACTCCCTAATTTGGAGTATATATGGCCCCTCTTTCTTTTCAACAGTGAAGACCAAAATATCAATGGTAGAGTCAAATTCCCCCAACTTGTAATTTTTCTCTTGCAAAAAATTTTGAGCATTTTTGCCATTTTTTTTTCAATTCTCAAATCTCCTTCCCCAGTGTGGGGGTGCGATCATAAGTGCTTTTGAAACGAACCACCAATTTAGACTCAAATGGGGATGCAAAGGATAGAAAGTGTTTGGATAGTAGAAACAATGGCCAAAGCATCATTCTTGTTTCTCATGACAACCAAAGTAAAGAATAGCCCATTGAGAAAATCCATTTCGTTTTGACATTTGAGAATTTTTCATGGATGGTCATGATCATTTAGATTTTTATTTGAAACGGAATTCTATTTTTGGAGGTTCAAATGGGAAAATAAATGATAAAATCTATATAGATAGAGAAACAAAAGCCTAAAGTATCATTCCAAATTTTCAAAACAAATAAAAAGTAATATACATTTTTGTTTTCACTCAGATGTGGATTGAATCTGGTTAGACACACTGGACATTTTCATAGTAAAATTGTCTCACTTTGAAGCTAGTCAATCAATGCGACTGACTTTGGAGGTTCAATAGAAGTGGACAAAAAATGAAAAAAGTGTCGGGGTTGATCTTTATGACAAACTATCAAATTTGTATGACCCCTTTTATTTTCGACTACTCCCATTGAATAGTTTAGATCACAAATCTAGTGTATGCAAAGAATTTTGGGAATTTGACGTGCACTCATGAATTTTGAACAAGAGGTCGAAAAATTTCAATTTTTATTCCTTAAAATCTATCATGAAATCTCTCAATGAGCAAATAAAGAATGAATATATACAAAACAATAATTGTCTAAATAAAAACTTTATTATTCAAATGTTTGAAATTTTTTTTTTGGGTCAAATATAATACATGTGAGCAAATAAAAATCTCTAAAGAATACATTTTCAAATATATACACACTTTCTCCTTCTATCTTTTGAGACAAAATATATTAGAAACAATGAATCAAAAGATTTTTGAGATACTTTACACTAGCGTTTTCAAATGGATTTTTCATTCATTTTTTTCATCATCGTTTTTTTTTTTTTTTACATTGTAGGATCTGCCCAAGAATCAAGCAACACTTGTAATTTTCAAAATTTATCAGACCAAAAATATTATCAGATATAGGAAAAATATTTTTACCTTGTTGAAACAACTTTTATAAATGCAGGGGAGGGGGAAAAAATAAAAGCAAAATACCCAGAGTTAGTAAGCAAAACTGCAAAATCGGTATGCATGTCCTATGGGGAACCCTTTTATGCCAAGAGTTGGCCTAGTATGAAAAATGCAATCCTCTGGGGTAGGCACCATACAATACCTGATGGATCCGATCGACTTATTGAGATTCAATGAAAAGACAATTTTGAAAAGACTGGATAATTGGAGTGACAAAAGACAATTTGTTCTAATAAAATGAGGACAAAGTCCGAATGGATTGATTGTTTTGATTGACACATAAAGTGATGTTAAAAATCAATTTAGTGTGAAAAACTTATTTTTGAAAGGATTGAAATATCTCGACTAGTTTCTTCGGTGAACCATAGATCGAAACTTTAAAAGAGAATAAACGAGTTAAATGGATCGAATGAAATTGATGGTTAGTTCAAAAAATTGACTGGATTATCCTAAAAATGAATAAAGTTGATCAAATGAATTGGATGGAATTGAGAATTTATTCAAAAAAAAATAAAAAAATAAAATTGATTAAATGAATAATGAATTGAATGGAATTGATGATTAATTCAAAATTGATTGTATTGGCCTAAAAATGAATAAATTGGTCAAATAGATTGGATAGAATTGCCAGTTTATTCAAAAATCGACTTGATCACTGACCAAATGAACAGAATGAAATTGATGATTTATTCAAAATGAAATTGAATGAAGATGAAATTAAAAACGAGCAAAATTGTAAGGATCGAATGATCTATAAAAAAAATCGACTCAATCATATTAGATGTAAAAATGAAATGAATGAAATTGATGATTTATTCAAAATCGACCGAATTGCCCTAAAAATAGGTAAACTGGTCACATGAATTGAATGAAATTTAATTTATTCAAAATTGACCGAATCACCCTAAAAAAGGGTAAATTGGTCAAACGAAATTGCTGATTTATTCAAAATTGACTTAGTCCTAAAAGTGAAGAAATAGGAAAAAATGGATCGGATGAATTTGATGAATAAAATGGTCCAATGAAATTGATGGTTTATTCCAAAAATTGATTGAATTGTCTACCCATTGAAAATTTTCAAAAATTCATTATGATTCATTAGTCTATGAGCCTTCGAAAATCAAGATTTGGCCTTAACATACTTATCATCTCAACAATGAGGAATTTGTGAATTTCTTCAACTTAATGTCCTTTACGCAAGGGATTTTTACCAATTCTGATAAAATGGCCAAAAAGTGATTATTAAAGGCTCATATTCTAATGCGTAAAAACTGTTCCATTATTTTCAATGCCGTCACACGGAAGGGATCAAATCCTACCTTACCTTGTGCACTACCCCTTTGGATGGTACAAAAAATATAAACGTGTAAGTCTCATTGGATTATATATCCGAGACAAAAGGTGGTTTATTCCTATAACGGGATTCCCTAAATGGCATTCCCTCTAAGGTTTATGCATGATACCAATTTATCAAAGCGACTAAATATGCAGTATACAAATGAAACACGACCTAAAAGAACCCCCTTTTGTATGCCGGGGTGAGCCTAAAATGAAATGTAATCAATCTGCTGTAAATGCGAAGCATTGAATTTAAACGTGTCATATCAAATAGGGTAGACTCCTAGAGAGTACCATGCCAGGACTCTTATTTTCTAGGGTTTATGAATGCAATGGAGACAAAACCCAAGAAAAGTTAGTTCAATCAGACAAATACACATAACACATTGTAGCAAAGTAATACACAAAGATAAAACAATAAAGAGGGGTTGGATCCCTCCCCTCGTGAATAGTGTTCCTAATAGGGTAAGGCAGACTCTACCCTAGGTAAACTATCATGGATGCATGAGGTATCGGCTCACTAATGCATCTAGACTCGATAGGTTTTAGATCCCCGAGCCTTCAGACTTAGAAACCAAAGGTCATCAATCCCAAGGTTCTTTGTCGGTGGCTCGAGCGATTCCCCAGACATTGCTACGTGCACGTCGTGCCACGGCCACATGTCCAAGTGAATCTATCAAAAATTCTCAATTTTCGACTAAAAGCTAAAGGCTATCAACCCAAAGCTTAAAATGGAAGATTGAGTGACCCCTCGAATCATGCTACGCACAACGTCGTGTCGCGATCACACATCCAAGTGGGTCGCCTAATCCTAATAGGGAAGAGTGGCGTGACAAGCCACTAAAGAAAAATAAATGAGGGATAAAATAAAACGTATGCACGTATGCTAGTGCTCGGTTTGGAGGGGAGGGATCGAGAACCAATGCGAGGCTCTAGGGTAAATCCCCCATCCAAATGCAATGCAAAGCGCGGGATAACATACATAAACTATCCATCCATCAATCGTACACAAATAGATGAGGGAGCGAATTGATACGCGCGCATGCAAAAAATCCTAAAAAAGAGAAAATGCAACCCTAAACATCCAAATGCGATAAATAAAAGGGTTAAAAAAGAGAAAAGACAACTAAACCAAGTGCTTGGACTCTCTAGCGTCCCCAGTGGAGTCGCCAAGTTGTCGCGCCCCATTTTTCGTGATGGAAAAAATAAGTATAAAATAGGTATTTACAAAATATGTAATCTTATTTTAAAATAAATGAAAAAGGACCTAGAATGGGACTTTAAGAATGCGACAATTTGGGTCCAAAATTTAGTCTAAAAGGGTTTTTAAGAAAAAATAGGAGTCGCCACTTGGTATGAAATTTTGGTGTACCAAGTCACCCAAAAAATAAAGTAAAATAAAATAAAATAAAACCCTTTTTGACAACTCCAGTTCTTTGAAAACAAGAGAAAATGGATTCGGGAGTCACGGTTGAAGAAAAGGGAAGGCAAAGGTTCGATTAACTCAAACCTAAGGCACCCTTTCAACCTAGTCTAAGCTAGTTGCGAGGTTTAGTCAAAATTTTCCTAAATCTAACCCTTAATTTTATCACGTTTGGATGTTTCCTACATGGATGCAAATCTAAAAATATCGAAAGGGACAAAATGTTCATTCAAGGGTTTAATTGGATCAATCGCATTAATTGCGAAGGCCAAAATGAATCCTTGAAGGTGTCACGAGGATGCAAATGATGAAAAATAAAATAAAATAAAAGAAATTAAATTATATACATATATATAAGTGATCAAAGAAAAAGGGAATGCAACAAAAGGGTACGGGAGGCGAAAAAATTCGTGACATAATTTTCTTATACATGGATTAATAGGGTATTTAAACTATAGAGTTATAATCACCCATTTTCCATGTTTGAAAAATAATTTATCCTAACATGAACAAGCAAATGAACTAGCTTAAATGAGATGCAATTCTAAATGACATGATTAACACCTATAGAGAATATGGGATAATATAATAGGGAATATCATACAAATGAGAAAATATCCTAAAAATGAAAATATGCATGAAAATGTAGTGAATAGCACACAAAGATGAATCTAACGCAAGACGGCCTAAAGGGTCTAGCGTTGGACTAGCCCATTTTTAAAAATCCTTACTAGCGTTGGACTAGCAAGTAAGCGGAGGGAGAAACCACAACTAGCGTTGGAACTAGTGTGGTGACGTCATGCATTTTTAATACATAATAAGACAAGTAGACATAAATTAAAACAAATAAACACATAAGAGCACGTAGCACGTAACACATAAGCATAATATCTAGATGCAAAAATCCTAAGGAAAGCAAGTAAGGCACGTAACACATAAGCCACATAAGCACACAACCTATCTATTACATCGGGGAGCGCCTAACTACAATCTAAAAGGGGAAATAAAATAAAACAAATCTAATTATCCTATCTATTACATTTTTGTGGTATTTAAATGCCTCTCAAATAATTATAAAATTAACTAAAAAAGTATAAGAAAATTTAAATGATCATTCAAATCAAATAAACAAAGCATATAAAAATATATAAACATATAGGAGCACGTAAGAGCACATAAGAGCACGTAATTAACATTGAAATAATAATAATGAGGTACCTCCCTTTTGAAGTGGTGACTAAATGGAGTCAAATTGTCCTATTTATACTCACAATGAACAAAAGAATCATGGCACCAATTTAATTTTAAAAAAAATAATAATAATAAAAGTACTAAGCTCACGCTAATATGTCAAACATAAAGAAATTTAAAATATCTAAAATTACAAGTTGAATATGTTCAAAAGTAACATAATTAGTTATTGAAGAAAAGAAACAATCATAATAAAGAGAGCCAAAATTTGTCAAGGACTGAATTACAAAAAGTTGAAAACTTTTGGGGGACAAAAATTATATTTTCCAAAGTTCAGGGGTCCAAATTAAATGAAAGATAAAATTCAGGGACCAAAGTGAAATTAATTTAAGGACCGAGTTGAAAGGAATTTAAAATGTTCTGGGCCGCAGTGAAAGTACTTGAAAGTACAGGGACTGAAGTGCAAGTTCGTTTCTGATTTGGGCAAGAAGAGGGCATCGGGCCTCCCTTTTTATTTTACTTGGGCCAAACCTACCTAAGCCCAACTGAAAACCCAACCTAAAACACACAGGCCAGCCCGTCTTTTATCACTCAAACCCAACCAAAATATATGGACTCAAAACTCTTAGCCCAACAGAAACCCAAAAGAAAATAAACCAAAACCCATTTTCATAACCCAAACAAAACTAACTCTTGGCCCAACCGAAATAAAACATTAGCCAAACCCCTTTTTTCTTTCTTTCTTTTCTTTCTCTTTCTTCCCCATACGTTTCCTTTCCTTCTTCTTCGGCCAACCGAAGAAGCTTCAGCTGGTAGCCATGGTGGCGGCGGCCACCGACCCGCCGGTCACCGGCCGACTTTTCCAGTGGCCAAAATTTCTCAAAATACATCTTTCCACTCCATTTTTCGCGTAGGTTCCATTTCCGGAGTTAATTTTTACAAAAGATGACCCGAAGGTGGCCGAAAAGCAAAAAGCCAGTCCAGTTTTTTATTTTTTTAAAACACTATAATCTTCACCAAAATCTTAAAATTATGCCAAAACCCTCCTTATAACTTCTACATTACAACTATAATCTAAGTTGAACAAGAAAACAACATAAAAAGGCTGAATTAAGGCAAAACAGTCCCTAAAATTCTTTTTGGCATTTTTTCAAACAATTAACATGCATTCACAGAAATCATCTTTTCCTTTAATGTTTATTCATGGCTTTACCCCAAAATTTCAACAACACCAGCAGCAACAACAAGAAAACAGCAGGAACAACCAATAATACATGAATTCAACACGATAAAAGAAAAAAAAACGGGAAATAGTTCAATGGAAGTGTTGATACCTCTTATGACCTTAGTTAAAATTGTTGATGAAATTCCAATCTCCTCGCGTCCGATTGCTTGCTTTCTTGTGCTTGATTCTGTGTGTGTATATTAGGAAAAGAGAGGGAGCGAATGGAAAGAGGAGTTTTTCTTTTTTTTTTTCTTGTTATGGCTTGTCTTCTGTCCTGTGGGAGAGAGCCGAGAGAGGAGATTTTTGTAGCCAACAGTAGAGCCTTTTTGTGTGTGTTTTTTTTTTCCTCCTTTTCCCCCAGAGAGAGCCGAGTGATGTCTTGACTAGGAGTGTTAAGTTGGGCCAAATGATGATTTTTTCTTCCAAAGACAAGAAGTATGCATGGGCTATCAATGATGAATTTTTTACCAAAATGGGAAGAAATGTTAATGAGGATGGATGTAAAAATGGGTTAATAGTGGTTCTGATGAAACAAAATGATTAGAATGATTTTTTTATTTTTCTTAATTTTCCTTCTTTTGTTTTGTTTTGTTTGTTTGTTGTTTTTTTTTTAATTTTTCTTCTTTTCCTAAAACAAACCTGCAAAAATGAGAAAAATGCAAATTAAAATGCAAGAAAATAAATAACTCATTAAATAGAAAAAATTCAAGAAAATATTAAAAATTGACAAAAATTTGGTCAAATTGTTTACCTGTCTCTTCTAACTGCACCTGAGTTAAATTAAACAAGCTAACACTTGGTTGAAATTATTGGACAAAATGATGCAATAACATTGCAGAGCATATGACCGAACTCATGTAGAGTTGCCTACGTATCCCGCCATGGGAATCAGGTCAAACGTAGTTCGAATGCAAGTGAACCACAACGAAACAAGTGCATTGACCAACTATGGTCTTTGCAAAGTCGAAAAAGTCTGAGCTCTCAGAACTTCTAAACATGAAACACAAAATGAATGAGAAATCACAATTATTAGTCAAAACAGTCAAGAAAAGTAACTTGTCATAACTAGAAAAAGATGCGCGGAGGGACGCGGTTACGCTCCAACAGAAAATTAAATTTGTCTTTTCAAAAAAGATGCGCGGAGGGACGCGATTACGCTCCAACAGGAAATTAAATTGTCAAGAAGGGAGATAGAAGGGTGCGCGGTGGACGCTGAGACTCACCAACAGGAAATTAAATTGATGCGCGCAGGGACGCGATTACGCTCCAACAGGAATTTAAATTTGTCAAGAATGGGAGATAGAAGGGTGCGCGGTGGACGCTGAGACTCACCAACAGAAATTTAAATTTATGCGCGGAGGGACGCGATTACGCTCCAACAGAAAATTTAATAGTCAAGATGGGGAGATAGGAGGGTGCGCGGTGGACGCTGAGACTCACCAACAGAAATTTAAAATGTCAAGAATGGAAGGTAGAAGGGTGCGCGGTGGACGCTGAGACTCACCAACAGAAAATTAAATTTGTCATTTAGGAAAAGATGCGCGGAGGGACACGATTATGCTCCAACAGAAAATTAAATTTGTCAAGAAGGGGAGATAGAAGGGTGCACGGTGGACGCTGAGACTCACCAACAGAAATTTAAAATGTCAAGAATGGAAGGTAGAAGGGTGCGCGGTGGACGCTGAGACTCACCAACAGAAATTTAAATTTATGCGCGGAGGGACGCGATTACGCTCCAACAGAAAATTTAAATTGTCAAGAAGGGGAGATAGAAGGGTGCGCGGTGGACGCTGAGACTCACCAACAGGAATTTAAATTGTCAAGAATGGAGGTAGAAGGGTGCACGGTGGACGCTGAGACTCACCAACAGAAAATTAAATTTATCAAGAATGGGAGGTAGAAGGGTGCACGGTGGACGCTGAGACTCACCAACAGGAAATTAAATTGATGCGCAGAGGGACGCGATTACGCTGCAACAGACAATTAAATTTGTCAAGAATGGGAGGTAGAAGGGTGCGCGGTGGACGCTGAGACTCACCAACAGGAATTAAATTGATGCGCGGAGGGACGCGATTACGCTCCAACAGAAAATTAAATTGATGCGCGGAGGGACGCGATTACGCTCCAACAGGAATTTAAATTTGTCAAGAATAGGAGATAGAAGGGTGCGCGGTAGACGCTGAGACTCACCAACAGGAAATTAAATTGTCAAGAAGGGGAGGTAGAAGGGTGCGCGGTGGACGCTGAGACTCACCAACATGAAATTAAATTGATGCGCGGAGGGACGCGATTACTCCAACAGGAATTTAAATTTGTCAAGAATGGGAGATAGAAGGGTGCGCGGTGGACGCTGAGACTCACCAACAGGAAATTAAATTGTCAAGAAATAACAGATTGGTGGGATAAAACCCGAATCCAATAAAATAAAACGGTCAGTGGGATAACACCCAAACCTGCCGAATCCCAACATGATATACAAAAGACACGTTATTGGGTTGAACCCGATGCTAACGGATGTGAAAAAAACATAACACACGTTAGTGAGTCAATACTCGATGCTAACGGTGATGAAAGACACGTTAGTGGGTTGGACCCAATGCTAACGGATGTGAAAAAAAATAGCACACGTTAGTGAGTCAAATCTCAATGCTAACGGTGATAAAAGACATGTTAGTGGGTTGGACCCGATGCTAACGGATATGAAAAAGTAAAACACGCGTTAGTGAGTTGTACTCGATGCTACGGTGATAAAAGACATGTTAGTGGGTTGGACCCGATGCTAACGGATATGAAAAAGTAAAACACGCGTTAGTGAGTTGTACTCGATGCTAACGGTGATAAAAGACACGTTAGTGGGTTGGACCCGATGCTAACGGATGTGAAAAAATAAAACACGCGTTAGTGAGTCATACTCGATGCTAACGGTGATAAAAGGCACGTTAGTGGGTTGGACCCGATGCTAACGGATGTGAAAAAATAAAACACGCGTTAGTGAGTTGTACTCGATGCTAACGGTGATAAAAGACATGACACACGTTATTGCATGAAAAAGTTCTTGAATACTTACCTGAAAAATCATTTCAGAAATTGACTCAATTTGAATCAATTTTGTTCAACCAATCATCTGCTTTGCATTTTGACATTGTGGCTCAAGTTGGTGGATTTGTAATCTTTTTTGTTTTTTTGTTTTTTTTGTTTTTTTTGTTTTTTTTTTGTTTTTGAAAAAAAACAAAGGTGACAAATTCTAAAACTTGAAGAATACCAATGACAACTCTCCTTTCAAGAGATTTGAGAGGTACATACATGTGTCACTATCTTCTCGACTTTAAAAAACTTTTTTTTTCACAAAGCCGATTTAGAATGTATTACCAAAATTGGAGCTCACTCCTTTTGATATTTGCCCCAGTGTAAATCATGTTTAACGAAAGCCACATTTTCATGCTTTTGAAAAAGCAAAAAGAGTGATCATATGATACCAATACCATGTGATTCCTTGTGCTCCTTTTGGCCCTGAGAACCATGCAAGCATGATCCTTCGATGTCAAAACTGCTCCTCAAGAGTTGTGCTGCAACTTGTTTTGAATCTTCTCCATTTTTCAGCATCAGTCAGCCATACCACACTTTGTACCACAAATCAACTTTTCTAATGACCAGATTTGAATGAATGGCCAGTATCTCAAGTGTCAGCAACCCGCTTTTCGTTCATGATTTTCTTGTGCTCCAAAATCTCACCTTGATGACCTCAACCTTTCGGATTTTCACAAAGGTCACACCTTTTTATTTTATTTTGTTTTCATTTTCTTTTTTTTTTTCTTTTTCATCATTTCTTTTTTTTTCTTTTTTTCTTTTTTTCTCATTCTTTTGAAGACACCCTTTCAGGTTTTCACCTAATGAACAAATCTTGTTAACGACATTTATCAACTCAGAAATGTATTTAAAGAAAGGATGGCATCAGCGCGACAACCATTCCCATGTAAAAATGGTGAAGGTGTACTGACATCAATTGCCATTTGATTAAGTGATTTTTATTAGAAATACCACTAAAGCGGAGGTCGAGACTTTATGATTTTTATGATGGGGGCATGTGGGGTGTAGAAAAAGTGTTAAACTTCAAAGCAAAATCTTCAAAGAGGTTTCAAAAATCCTAAGACCGCATTCTATCAATATTTGCCCCATTATGAGGGTATTAAAACCGAAAAAATTGCCCCAGTTTGGCTTTTGACTTCTTTTTTCTTTTTTTTTCATGACAAATAAGAGATAAAAATTTACCCCAGTATGGAGTTTGCAATCTTTAGGAGGGCTATCAAATGAAAGGTTGAATTATTCTGGAGGTTCAATGGGGAAAACTAGGGATAAGATGTTCAAAGAGAAAAGAAGAAGGCTCGCCTTTGATCCGCCATAGATGGTATTTCAAAAAGAAAAATCATATAATCAGATAAAGAATTTATTTCACATGTCTGAATTGATTGGCAGAGGAAAGACCTGTCCATCCAGTTCTGTAAGAATGGACGTTCCTCCGGATAGCACTCTTTGAACAATAAATGGCCCTTGCCAAGTCGGAGCAAACTTTTCTTTAACCTCCTCTTGAATCGGAAGAATTTACTTCAAAACCTTATCCCTCACTTCAAATAAGCAAGATTTGTCTTTCTTGTCATAACTAACGAACCATCCTTTGATGATAGCATTGTCCATGACAAACATTCAACCTCTTTTTCATCAATCAGAGATAGCAACTCATTGTGCTCCTTAATCCATTTGATTTCCTCTACCTAAGCCTTTGTCAAAATGTGCAAGGACGGGATCTCGGTTTTGGCATGTATTACCACTTCCATTTCAGCATAAGAGGCAAGGTGTTGCCCTAACTTAGAAATGTAATCTCCAATGAAACGCTCCCAGAGTTCAATTGCAAAATTTGCAAAATCGAAGGAAAAACTCTCTTTTTTTTTCAATCCCCTTTTTTTATTCTCTTTTTTTTCGTTTTTCCATTTTTTCCTCCTTTTTTATTATTCTCTTCTTTTTTTTTCTTTCATTCCCCCTTTCTTTTCTTTTGTCTTTTGTCTTTACTTTTTTTTTCCTTTATTCTTTCTCTTTTTTTTCGCTTTTCATTCCCCCTTTTTCTTTTCTTTTCTCTTTTTTTTTTCAAGTTGGCTGCTAAAGTATGTACTCCTTTTGAGCAAATAGCCGATCCTCCACTTTGCAATGTAGCATTATTGCTCCATTTTTATTCGTGACTAATCTCCAAATTTGCAAGTTGAATTGCACTTTTTCCTCGATCTCAACCATAAACACCTGCATAAGGAGAATTTTTCAAAGCACTTGAATTTTTCAATTTTCAATTTTTTTTGTTTTTTTTGTTTTTTTGTTTTTTTTTTGAGTAATGATATAACAATTAACATTCATGCAAAGTGTTGACTTATCAAGATTTGAGAAATATACTTGACCTTGGACATACCCTACAAATGTATTAAAAATTTTACCTCAATTTGAACCTATTTGACAAAATCTCACAGATATATTACAAAAATTTTTGCCCCAATTTGGGTCTATTCTAAAATTTTATTCGAGTGATTCTCCATTTATTCGGACAAAACAAGAAAACTGTGTCTTCCAAAATTTAAAAAAACTAACATGCAATGTGA